GGCTGCGGCTGCAGGTGCATATATCCATCTTTTCACGGAATTTTTCGAGGTATGCCATTTTCTGCATGAAGATAATGAATTGATTATCGCACTTTCGGTAATTACTATCTTTGTAAGGTAAGCCAGTTAGCGATTAAGGGAAAGCCTGTGTCCATGGCGCTCTTTTTCAGCAAACGTCGTTAATTTTAAGTGTTGCTACTCTAATATGATTTAATGTCAGACTAAAAGAAGAATAATCTGTTCATTCAGGGACTCTAGGCTTGTAGGTAGCCGAATTATTTCGTTAAAAAGATGATCATTATTTTTCCACTTTCGATTTGCACTCTTTTCGTTTCTTTGTCGGTCATTGGATTAAAGGATCGTTTTTTCTGTTTTCAGTAATTTAATGTCTGGGTTATTCAACCGAGAGAACGCCTTCTCATCGCACAGTTTTTCGCTGGTGAAGCGTTCGCGAGGTACGAATGTGGGTCAGATAATTTTGCGTTTGATTTAGAAAAAAACAAAGGAAAGTTTTTTGATACTCTTCAAACACAGCGCCGTTCGGTGGCCTATCAGATGATAGAACGGTGCCGACCTTTAGGCCATACCGAGATACTTAATCATACCTTTGTATAAGGTTTTCGATTGCTGTGGAGGCCGTTTACAGCTAGTGTTTACGGGGAGTCGAACTGGTTATGTTTGACGCAACTGTTCGGCTTCCAGCATATATTATAATATTGTTTGCCCTGAGGATGGCCACGTTATTTTTTATAAATTCAGTAAAACAGATTTTAGCAGCCATCTTATGTGTTATGTTTGTAAATGTATAATCTCTAATACATGTACTGTAATGCATACCAGAATCCAGATGACTTTTCGAAAGCACTCAAGGTGATTTAATATAATTTTTGATATTTAGATGAGTTAAAATATAGCCAGAGAAAACTTAAATATGATTTATGTTAATAGCTTCTGACAAGAAGTTTTCCACCTCTATCATACTGTATTCGCAACTACATACTGATTCAAAGTATATGAGGAATAGAAGAATAGGCTTCGGTAGATATAGAGATCAGCAGTATAAAATTAAAAAGACTGGAACATATGAACATTCATTAACTTCGGCACTATCCATCGTCAGGAATAAGAAATGGATAATGTCGAGGTTGTTGGAAATCTTGGCGTTATTATAAAATTTTTGGACTTGTTGATTCCTGCAAGATTTTTTCTTATATCTCTTATCATCCTGTTCATAGTTTAGTTGCTGAAGTTTGTTAGATATGGAAAGTTGTAATTGTTTCTGTAGGTTTGCTGCTGTGTTATATGAATTTGATGTTCCTACATATTAGATGGGGGTGTTACCAAAACATCTGGGCCAGAAGATATTCGGCTGTGCAGAAAAGTTTACATTGACGTTTCGTTTGTTTATAAAAAACCTGAGTGGTCTTACTTTTCTTTCCTCATATGTGAAAAATGATGGAAACTAGTTAGCTTAGTCAGCTAATGTTAGCTAAATGAAAATGCAGGTAACAGTTTTTAATCTTTATTACATTTATGCTTGCCTTTACTATTTTTTAAAATTTATTGTTCATATTTCAGGGCAATTTATACAGTACATTGGGATCGCTGATTATGATGATACTTGTCTTTGCCACACCGCAAAGACCAGATACCGTAACTCGTCGATTTGCATATCTCCTTGGCTTCGCAGCATTTACAGGTGCGTATTGTATGGTTAGTTGATAAAAAATTAGGCATTGTGCTGCCAATTGATTGAGTTATAATACATTTACATAATAATAGCAATTATTTGAAAAGTAAAGACCCATGTATTGTAGATGTGATTATTTGACGTAACTATTCATTTTATTATATATTAGTTTATTGGTACGAATATCCAAATAGTATACTGAGGGAATGTGAAACCTCTGAACATGTTGGGACATATTTGCTTGTAGTAGTGCGTAGGTTCAACGGTTTAGTGGACCTGCCGACTCCAGAAAGCAAATCTAAGGCACCATCTTAAATATATCAGATATGATTGATTCTGACATCTCTGTTGTTTAAGATGTGATACGTTATTTGATCAAATGAATGCATAGGAGCATAAATGTGTATTGGAGTTGAATCATTCGTGAAATCCAGAGAATTTTTCAGGCTGAATTACCAGATCGGTATAGACAGCAAAGTGTGGGCAAGCATTTTTGTTGTTTTATTATAGTCATTTGAGGTTAACAGATTTTAAACAGCAGAATACCAGATTTATCGTGTCTCACCGTGCAGACAATCAGAATACTTGGAACGTAACTAAGGTTTGTTTCGCACAGATGAAGGATAGCGTCAAGTAGATTACCAGCAAAGTGACCACGCAGTCGTGTAAAATCAGAGCATGCCATTGCAAAAGATACTGGTCATGTGAGAAATAAAACCTTAGCGGTGGAGATGACCTGGAATCGATACTTTCATATAGTTCGCGACGGACAGAATGGAGAGCTACCTGCAAAACACCGACCAATTGACTTCCTTAATGCGGGAAAATGAAAAACGCATGACTTTTTTTTATAACGCTTAATCGTGCATTTTATTGAAGTATTTTTACGAATATTTCTAGGATTGTTAATTAATGTTCATTAATGCTAATATTCATGTAGATTTCCCGATAATGATCGAGACCGAGTTTGTATGGGATATCGGATATCTGTTACCTGAAGGATTAACGTTCTGTCTTTCCTTACTTTGGAATCATGAGTTTAGTCAACTTCCAACATTTAATGCGTACGCCATCTTCTCTTAAAATACCGGATTTGGTACATTTTTAGAATGAACTTCCTTTTCTGGTAACGCCATCTTTAGAATGCTCTGGGTTCTTCGCAGTGCCAGTGGCTGTATTTCAGATCGATGTTTAATGTATGCGTTGCCATCGCGGAGAGGAGCAAAGATTGTCGGAGGGTATCGTATAACTAAGCGGAGCGTATAACTGAGTCGGTGTGCTCCTGAAGTAATACTGTGGCCCTGATGGTCTGCCATTAACGGTCAAGCATCCATAGAGGAAAGTTTCAAGTAGCGGATGACCACTCTAATTGCAAATCCAGACAAGTATACAGTGCTGCCGTCATGATTACCCAAAAGAATGCATGATGGGTTTTTTGTTGTTTTCTCTTTGAACTAAACATGTTTCTGATACTGAGGAAGTTCAACTGAGTTGATTTTCAGTCTATCTCTATCTATGAGTCAAAAGTATTGTTTACCTAATTGGGCGTTCTGTAGTACATGGACTCGTAATTTTCGATTGGGATGGTTCTAAATATTATATACGTCGGAATAACATACCACTGAAGTTAGCAAATTGTTATCGGTTCCTTATCTGACCCTCGTTGGTAGATCCATTCATTTTTATCGTGCTCTTACGTATTCTCCGGCGTATTTTTTTTTCATCCTGCCAATTGAGTCGTGCATTCCCACGCCTTTGTAGAGGTGGATCTATGCTCGCACTTCGTAGATTCAATTGGATAAAACCTGACTTACAAGAAAAAATTATTTATTTCAGGCAGTACTAGCGATTTCTATATCCAGCTATTAATACAATGTAAATTCTCAAATTATTTAATAAGATAATGGCTTTGAACGTCGCAGCTTGCAACATACCACCTTCCGCCTGATAGGCCTTCGGCGGAGACATTTACGTACACGCTGTTCCTGGGAAGTCCCCTTTGTAATGAAAAGAAAGTCTTGTCACGTTTGAAACCTTTTTGTTTTGCTTCTCTATCCGTTGGTCGGGACAAATACTTAAGGCGCTTACTTTTTCAAGCCTTTGATAGTAAAGAACGCATTGCATAAATCTATATTGTGCACTTTTGCTCCCGATTCTTACGGAAAGGCGACTGCCCCCTAAGTCTATGTTTTGTTGCGCAACAACGCTAGGTTTTTTCTCTTTTTCTGTGTTTACGTCTGTAGTCTGTTTTCTATTCCAGCTAGTTTGGACGTCTATTAATTGTGTAACTGGTAGCTCAGTTACTCGTCGAAACAGTCAAGAGCAACAGACATTTCAGCGACATTTCTTTTGAAACGTTCGTAATGGTTGAAGTGACCTTATGATGACAGAACTTAAAAAAGGAATATTATTCAGTAGCAAATTATCATATCCGGATAAAGTATGTGATAATTATCGGTCACTTCTTTGATTTATGCTGCACAGTGGTATCATCCCCTTGCTTCTAATAGCCTAAGGGTCCTTCTAATCAGGCCATGACTTAATGGCAACTTATGCCTGCAATGCTGGACGTCTTACTTGTGATAATCATCAGCATCTTAACATTATAACTGGAAAAGTACATATTTCAGCATGTTTCGACAGAATTGAAAATTAATGAATCTGAGGTCTTATTTTAATTCATTTGCCAAAGTGTTGTTCCGGTTGCTAACATTTTGTCATTGCAGAATTGTTTAGCTTAAGAATTACGTTTTTGAATTCTGACATAGAATTTATAGTTTAACGTTGACAGCGGAGTGAAGTAGATTATTTGTTTTATCTTGCATTGTCACTACATGTTTAGGCTTGAGCACCGGCCCCCTGCTTGATATCGTTATTAGAATTAACCCTGGTCTGATTGCAACGACGTTTTTCGGAACTTCAACGGTGTTCGCCTGCTTTTCTTTGGCTTCTCTGTACGCTGCGGATGGGAAGTTTCTCTGTCTTGGCGGTAAGGAAGTTTTAAACATCATTTTATGTACGTGACTCGAATGGCCGTAAAAAGATTTTTACAAATCATAAGAAATACATGCGAAAATCAGAAATAATTTT